CCCAACCACAAAATTGGTTTTGTTGCTACTTCTTAACTGTAATTTTGTTACTGTTATTAATTGTTCGACCCCCAAAGGGGTCACGACACAGGTTGAGAACCGCTGTACTACAGGATTAGCTTGGTAGTTTTGAACTACTGACTATGATAAGGTAACCAGATTTAAAGCGGGACACCATTGACGGGGGGTGGGGGTGGTTCTTGATTAAAAATTTGGTCTATATGGACCAAATACACCGTTCCATAGCTTGTCGCTCATTCTTTCCAAAAATCGGGACTTTTTAAAAATGCCCAAAAGCGGGACGTCTGGTCACCTTAGACTATGAGGATAGCAGCCCAATGCCAGCGCTCCTAGTCACAGCATACTTCTTTAACTCACTCCTCACAATCCCAGAGGGCGGGTCATGTTACTTGCTCCACTCTGCATGTTGCCCAGGACTGGGGTGGGGACAACTTGTCCTAATTCACAGGGCTCATCCATGGCAGAATTGCAATTTAAATATGGGCGGCTATAAGACAAACCCCCCATAAAGTTCTCTATGTGGGGGTGGACATCCTGGATGTAAACGATAACCCCTTCCTTGGGAATATGAGCAGGCCTTGCCCTAGAATGCCTGGGCGTAATGAGTTAGGACTTTTTAGCCAAAACACATTTGCAAATTATTAAACCAAGCAGTCATTCAAGAAGATGTTCTGAATGCCAAAAACCCCCTTGGCAAACCCCTGCACAATGAAGACGCTCACTGGTCAGTTAGAATTTGTCAGGTGCAACCCCTCCTTCTCCAAATCAAATGAGGGTTGCAAGCAGGAGAGGAGCGGGGAAGAACAGTGTTAAAGCAGACTAGAGATGCTGGGACTTTCAGCACAAAAAACATCATCAAGTAATACAGCTGCCAGGCTTGTCAAGGGCAGGGTCTGGCACGCTGACCCACGTAGCTGGGACATTTGAAAAAATAGTCCTCCACTGGGTAGAAGTCAAAGTTCAGACGTAGAGGCAGGAGGATGCCTAAAAACAACAGCACCCATTTCTCAACTGCAACCCCAATAAATATTTACATAAATTACAGTGATCAAACAAGCAGGTGTGTTTGTTTAATTAATACTGCAAAATTAATTAAACAACCTGAACACCTGTAGCCAGTCAGTCAGGGTGCCCGTACCCATCTACCCAATGCTACAGTGAGAAGACCTCAGCCATCTCAAGGAATGAAGACAGGTTTTATGTTCAGCCTCTCACTAGTGCTAAAGGGATCTGACATAGTGCAATTCTCTGAACAGAATGCGTTCTGTGTAGCACTCAGTTACACGCTCTACTGAGGGGTCCAGGTGGGGCAGTGTTCAAGAGTGGGGCTGCTAACCAAAATGTTGGGGGTCAAACTCAGCCTTGGGGGAGGAGGCCTGACTCTCTGCTTCCAGAAGGCTATCAGATGGGGTCGGCCTGGGGGAGTCGGAACTGACTCCCCAGTGCACGCTACCATGACGACGACACACTCCTCATGACCCAGAACAGCTCATTCTGTAATAAGATCCCGCTCACACAGACCAGCGTCCACACTGGATGAACTCTGTCCAATACGCCAGCCCTGACGTTGCAGCTTAGAAAGACTGACTTGTATGAGGGAGGCTTCAAAAATAATAATAATTTATAAATTATTAAGGGTTCATGAGGGAAGGAGGGGGGAAAATGAGGAGCTGATACCAAGGGCTCAAGTAGAAAAAAATGTTTTGAGAATGATGGCCAACAAATGTACAAATGTGCTTGACACAACGGATGTATGCATGGATTATGATAAGAGTTGTACAAGCCCCCAATAAAATGATAAAAAAAAGGTTCAAGGAAGGAAACTGCATTATCTTTTAATTCCATTTTTCCATGGACTTGAAGCCCCCTTACTACTGCCACTGTGACCCCTCCTGCCTTCTCTTTCCAGTCTTCTACACAACTAAGTCTCCAAAGCTGTGTCCGTCATGTCTACCCCTCTAGTTCCCATTCGCAGCTCAATTCAGGCCCGTCCCAACTGCCGTGTCCGCTGGTCTCTCTGACTTCTCGCAGACTTGACTCAGCTGAACGGCTCCTTCTCAAACTCAGCTTCTTCCTTCCCGGCTTTCCTCCTCCGTCCTGGACCTCCCTCTCCCCAGCCCTGAAATGTGAGTGTTCCCTCACAGTCTACAACACATTCAGCCTCGAGCTTGGCCACCGCATGGACTGTTACATCTATCTCTTCTCATTAGGACTAGAGGTCAATTACTAGGTTTTAGCCAAGACGACAAATCTGAATTATCCGTTGTTTCTCCTGGCTCAATTATCCCATTAGAGCTTTCCGAGATCCCGCATCACCACACTAAAGGGAGGGAAATGACTAATAACTGGAATTATAGCCTGGCGCTGACTCTGTAGAGGATCATTTCTAGACCGCTGAACAACTGTGCTGCAATCTATATACCAGATTCTTCCACGTCTCTCGCATTGGCCCACACGGGCTACTACACTAGCGGGACCTTTCCCAAACATCTCAGCGGCCGAGTTCAGAGTGGAACACCACAGCGGCCCTGGCTCCTACCCTTCCCCGTGTCAATGGTCTACCCTTATCACCCCAAGGATGAAACCGAGAGCCTGGAGTCACTCAAACCCTTACCTTCTCTCTCCTCTCTCTATGGAGTGGTGTTTCCAAGCCCACCGGAGGAACCCACGGCACTTGCCTCAGTTACCAGGTTCCCTTCCACTCTACCTGCTGACTCTTGGTTCTGTCTCCCACTAGACCCTCCTGCGGAAGGGCGAGGCGGGGGCCTGACCTCTCAATTGGGTCACAGCCTGATGACACCTCCTTGGTTTCATAAGCTTTCTTTGGAAGAGTGAGAAACACGGGGAACTCTCTGCCACTTCGCCTACCTGCTTCTGGGACAGCCTGTCTCCAGGGGCGGTCATGCGGGTCACCCAACCCAGAGAGCTGTCAGCGCCCTGCCTTGTTTCCACTGACTTTGGGTCTGTGTGACTTGCGCCCACAGGCGTCTGGTCTTCCTGCATCCAGCCCCACCTTTCTGTGTCACTGGCAGCTGTGTGAGTCGGAAGAGGGACTCATGGGCTGGCTTTGGACTTACGGACTTCAGTTGGACTGGGCTGGGATACTTTCTCGATATAAGATTATTTCTTTATATTAAGTTTGCTTTTATACGTGCATGCATGTCACGGATTTTGTTTCTCCAGACTACCCAGCCTAACACACGACTCTACAAGATGCTCTGCGCACTGGAGAGTTCCTAATTCTCACAGCACTGCAAGGGAAGTATTAATGCTGCTATTTTTAAAATGAGAAAAGGGCGGTCCTAACAGGAAGTGCCATCCTCAGATCATGCAGCTGGTAAGCAGCCGGGCAAGGATCTGGGCTCAGGTGAGACAGACCTGTGGTTGGTGTTAATGGCTGAGACAGGTGGCCACTTACCAAAGGGTTGAAATTTGGAGTCTACCAATGATACCTTGAGAGAAAGGACCGGCAATAAGCTTGAGTAACTAAGTGACACAACAGCAATTATGTGCTTTGTTTTGTTTTGTTGTTATAGATAGAGGCCGCCCCCCAACTCATACTTTTCTTACTAAATTGCCATAGTTCTCAAAATGCATTATGCCTTTAGATGTAACTGTACCTTTTGCACATGGCAATATCTCTCTTAAAATACTCCCGAGGCTTCTGGCACCCCCACCTCCTCCCACTCTCCCATCAGGCACAGTCTCCTCTCTCTGGCTCCTTCATCAGAAGACATCACTCAGCTACATCCCCTGGGTGACTTCTCCTCATCGAGGACAAGGGACTAAGTCCTGACACTCTCCGGGAGACCCCAGTGGTCTCCATGGCCCCCACGAGGGAACAGCTCTCCAGTGGTTTCCAGCTGAGCAGCGAGCTAGCAATGAAGTAAGGGGGATGGGCAGAGCAGGCGAACAGAACCAGGGACCAGCCAATCAGGGGTAGAAGGGAGCCAGAGGACGACGGGCACCTGTGAAAATGCTATACAAGGAGAGGAGAGGAGGGACAGGCCACCAGTTCAGATGGCTAAGACAGCTGGCTAAAACAGGTCTCCCATTTTAAGTAAACTCAACGGGAACCATTTGGAAACTTAAGCTTACTAAACTAAACTAAACTAAACTAAAACTAGTTTCCTGCAGTACAACTGTTTTGTTTCCCCCAAATACTTGCTATAAAACATGCTCTGGTTGTTTTAAAAGGTTTGCAGAATGCAGGACATTTTTGAGAGCACAGGTTCCCAAACGGATCCAAAACAAAACAAAACAAAACAAAACCCAGCGTGCCCCTGGCAATTAAAAATGTTTGCACTACTGCCCATCAACCAGGGTATGGTGTAGGTGTCTGCTTCTGCAGCCCCTTGGATTGTTCCAGTGCCCCCCCAGGGGTGGTATCGCCCACTTTAGGAAACACTGCTCTAGAGTCTGAAGAAATAAAATCTAGGGTATTTAAGTAGAAAATGGAACCCAGGTAGAGAAAGGCTATTTTAAACTGGTCTCAATTTCGTTATGCTATACCCTCACATTCCTGGTTATAGAATATGGCGACTTTGCCTTTCATAAGAAGCAAATATACAAACAAAAAAATAAACCTAAAAGGTAAGAGTCAAAGCAACAAAGATCGCAGAAGGAAAAAGAAACCTATGAGTGATCCACACAAGCCAGAGTGGCACTGGCTGGGGGAGGAAAACACAAGCAGTAACCACGGAGGGCCTCCCCTGCGAGTCGGGGAGAATGGCTGGCTCTGCCGAAGCTCAAGGGAAAGCCTAGGAGACGAGGGGAACGGCCAGCAGGTCCACTGAGGGATGGACAGAGAGACAAGCGTGGTGCGCGAGTACAGTGGAGTACTGCTCGGGCAAGAAGAGCAGTCAGGTCCTGGACCACGCCACACGGCAATGAACCCTGAAGACAGTATGTTGAGTGAAACAACTCCGCCACAAAGTAGGCAAATGATGGCGACCAAAGCTTACTAGTGAGAGGGAGGGCCTGCAGGCGCTAGTGCAAGGGGCACTGTGGTGCTGTGGGTGGTGGTTGTGTAGGGAGCACTGCAGTGCTAAGGGTGGTGGTGTGTAGGAAGCACTGGGGCACTGTGGGTGGATGTGTAGGGAGTACTGTGGTGCTATGGGTGGTGGTGTATAGGGGGTACTGGGGCATTGTCGGTGGATGTGTAGGGAGCACTGGGGCACTGTGGGTGGATGTGTAGGGGGTACTGGGGCATTGTGGGTGGATGTGTAGGGAGTACTGTGGTGCTATGGGTGGCGGTGTATAAGGGATACTGGGGCATTGTGGGTGGATGTATAGGGAGTACTGTGGTGCTATGGGTGGTGGTGTATAGGGGGCACTGGGACATTGTGGGTGGATGTGTAGGAAGCACTGGGACATTGTGGGTGGGTGTGTAGGAAGCACTGGGGCATTGTGGGTGATGTATAGGAAGTACTGTGGTGCTACGGGTGGTGGTGTATAGGGGGTACTGGGACATTGTGGGTGGATGTGTAGGGAGTACTGTGGTGCTATGGGTGGCGGTGTATAGGGGGTACTGGGGCATTGTGTGTGGATGTGTAGGGAGTACTGTGGTGCCATGGGTGGTGGCGTATAGGGGGTACTGGGGGATTGTGGGTGGATGTGTAGGGAGTACTGTGGTGCCATGGGTGGTGGCGTATAGGGGGTACTGGGGGATTGTGGGTGGATGTGTAGGGAGTACTGTGGTGCTATGGGTGGTGGTATATAGGGGGCACTGGGACATTGTGGGTGGATGTGTAGGAAGCACTGGGACATTGTGGGTGGATGTGTAGGGAGTACTGTGGTGCTGTGGGTGGTGGTGTATAGGGGGCACTAGGACATTGTGGGTGGATGTGTAGGGAGCACTGTGGTACTGTGGATGGTGGTGGCAACCTTTGGAAATCTGCACAACATGATGAACAAAGACACTGTCACCGAACTGTCTATGTACAGAGGGCTGAGCTAGCACATGGTTCCTTATATGTATGCATGTTCCAAAATAAAACAATAGGAACATTCAAGCCCAGAAGATGCTTACCTGTCCTGTTTTGTGTGGCAGCCGCGTAGGAGAACAGGAACAATCGCTTAAGTAGTTTAGAAGCTTGGGTGTGGTGAATTATGCCGCTGACAATCTAGGGAAGAACCAGCCAGTGTAAGGTTATGCACTGAGCCCTGAAGACAAACACTAAAAGACCAGAGCCACAGCACCTTTGCTTTTGCCATGCTCCCATGACTCCTGTGGAGAACATGCTATCTTGTGTGGATGTCTGTCTGCAGCTAGGAAGTTGTATCTTGGAACAACGGTGAACAGGGAGTCCTAACCATTTCCCCAGGTTTTCTAGAGCCTTATGTTCCCAGAAAAATTTTACATCATCTAATTTTTCAGGCAAAAAACCCTTTAAACGCTGTAAAACAGGAACCCCAGCAATTGGGCATGTCAAAGACCTACTGTGACTAAACTGCACTATCCTGTTGTACTTGTTTGGCCTTAAGAACAACTAGCAAAAGATATCAATCTAGTGTGCTTTCGATGTGAAGCTCCAAACAAAGTCTGCTTGGATAGATGCATTGTCAGAGATGAAGCTGCTGGCTTCTCAGGACATCTCCCCAGAAACTCAGAATGTAAGCCAAAGTCACGTGAATAGTTCTACCTGCCTGCCACCTCAACGCAAAGACAATCACCTGTAAGCGTGCAAAGCTCTCTGTAAGCAAAGGCAATATAAACAGACTAGCCTCTTGCTACGATCTCTCTGGTGCACTTGGCATGGCCCTGGCAAGTGAGAGATTTTTGCCGCTACCTTTGTTACGTGAAGTCCTGGACATTACAGGGAGCATCTCACTGGCCGAGCCTTTCTGAGTGCACCCTGTTGCTCTGGCCTGGAGATGGTGTGTTTGTCACCGCCCACTGCAGGGCCTTGCTGGGGGACTCTGCTTTGCTCATCGGGCCTGCAGGCCTCCTCATAGTTCAGCACTACTCACTCGAGACCTAGCTCACTCCAGGTTGGGGGCCACTGCTCCTGTCCTTTGGACTGGCTGTCCGAGGTGGGGGAAGAAGGCTGCGTGTAGCTGTCCGGGCCCTCTTTACCACACCTGCCCTTTAGAGGCTGTGGGAATGGAAACCCTGAGATGCGTAGCACTCACAGGAGCATGTGCTTCATGGGCATCGGCCACCAGCTTGCCTCTTGTGTTTGATCAAGACACAGGGGATTAGAACCAGCGCTAACGCTCCAGAGCAAAGGCTCCTCGTGGCCAGTGAGTAACGTAAGCAGAAACCAGGGTTCCTGGGGAAACTGATGGGAAATAAAACTTAAAAACAGGAGACCAGTTACCCTTTTGACTTCCTCTTCCTTGGTGTACCGCAGACAGAAGTGGAATACCCGGAGGTCTTTGCAATGGATGATGAGCTTCTCAGGGTACTTCTTCAGTTGTCCAAAGAGAGTTTTTTTTTTCTCATCAAACACTAGGGATCAATGGTCACACCAGGGAGGAAAAGTGTTATAAGGCAGCCAGTTAACACTAAGAAAGCAGGTCGGCACCACCTCCTAAGGCTGCCCCACCAAGTGCAAAGGATGCTCCTGTCTCCCTACAGACAACCATCCACAGGAGCCCAGCCCCACCCAGCACGGTCTGGGCTTTCAGGGAGCAAGTTACGGTCTTTTGTCTTTGGAGTAGACCCTAGGTCCAGATGGCCACTGTGGACAGGACCAAGCCTACTGGCATGACAGTGGGATCACAGGAGATGGGAGGGAGGTCCCTAGGGATCTGCTCTCTTTGGACAACTATGCTAGGTCCCCTCCTGAGACACCCCACCTTCCCAGCCTTTCCCCTTGCCTCTTTCCCCTACCCCGTAGATTGGAAACACTCAGTATCTGGTCGCGTTGGGAACAGTCTGTGAAAAAGCTCCAGATACCAAAATAGAGAAGGTGGAGTAGAGAAAGGCTTGGCTGTCCACGGAAGAGACATCCTCATGCAGAGCCCATGCGACTCGACTCTCGGGGACAGTACAAATGTAACCAACATCTTCCTCACTGAGGGGAACTAAGGAGCACTTGAGAAAACAGGGTCCAAGTTCAAGGCCAAGCTCCCCAAGCTATGTGCCTCTGAGTCCCTTCTCAACTTTCTCACCTATAAAATGGACTTGAACAAGGTGATGCACAGGGGTGTATACGTGTGTGTCTGTGTGTGTATATTTGTGGACCATAAAGGGTCACAGGATCCCTGAATGCAATTGGCTACTAACCCAAAGGTCAAAGGTCCAACTCTACCCAGAGGCCTCAGGGAAAAAGGCCTGGGGAGCTTCTTCTGAACAAAGTCTGAGCACATCTCTCCCCTAACATACAGGGGTCACTAGGAGCCCAAGCCACCCTAGGGGCTGCACCTGCACCCAGAAGGCGAGAAGATACTCACCCCCAAGGATCTGGTCAACACAGTGGAGTGTGATGTCATTCTCTCCTATCAGTTTATTCTTAAACTGAGTTTCCTGAAAGAGTCAGAGACAGCAACTGTAACACCCTTCTACGCTCTGCTACGCCATTTCCTGGCCACCCACTTGCACGCTGTGCAAAGGCGGGAAGGCAGCTCTGCCCTGGAGAGAGCGGGGATGAATGGAACAAGGACAGTTTGTGAGCACTCATCATCCCACGCAGGCAGAACATGCCATTCCAGGGATGTTCTCGGCTAACCTCCCAGGGCACATACCATCCGTCTGACATGCGAGGGGCAGGGAAGCACTTCTCCGCACAGCTGCTGACAGGTGACTGACGGGGCCACCCGAGGCCGGCTCTGGGGAGAAAGCACTGGGTGACTCAAGCATCGGCAAGGGCCATCTTTGTACAGGATCAGGAACTGGTCCCCCAGAGTGACCAACAGGCCAGCAGGCCACACTCTGAGCAACCATGGTGGTGCCGCTGAAGCAGCTGGGGCCGAGCAGTGCTGTGACTGGACTACGTTCTCCCATCGGTGCGGGCAGGCCTCTCCTCACTCAGGCCCGCCCTCGACAACTTCCTCCTTATAACAGACAGGTCTCATAAGGGTACTTGGTGCTTGCTGCTGGGCTCAGAAGGAGCTCTCACTTTCTAAGGCAAACCCCCGAGCTCCCGTGAGGCATCGGCATCACTTTCATGACTGAACTCCATTCCTGGGTTTGAGGAAGAACTCAGTGTAGAGAAAGCAAGAGAAACTAGTATGTTTGGGGAAGCCTTTTCTCAATGAAACTGGTGGCACAGAAGTTACATGTTAGACTGCGACACGCATGGTCGGAAGTTCAAAATCACCAGCAGCTCCTTGGGAGAAAGACAGGGCTTTCTACTTCTGAAACAGTTAAGGGTCTCGGAAACCCACAGTGAGTCACTATTAGTCAGAGTTGACTCTATGGCAGTGAGTTTGGGTTACTTCTCAAAGAATGGTACATATGATACTGAAATGCAGAATGGGTTGACAGTGTCAGGCTCTGAAGCCTAAGGCAGGCAGCGTGACATGGGGCATAGGCAGGAAATCTTAGAAGAACCTGCCAGTGAGAGGGCACTGTCAGAGGGCAGCCTTTACCCAGGGGCCACCCTCGGAGAGGTTGGGAAAGGAGGGGTGGCAGCAGGAGGGTAAGTGATGGCACACTGGGGAGCGTGCAGTCACTGCCATGAAACACAGTGTGTACAAACTGCTGACTGGGAAGCCGAGGACCTTCACCCAGTTCACATTAAGAAATTGAAAGGAAGAAGGAGGATAGGCCAAGAAGGGCACATGTCCTTGTGTTCATGTGGGCTGGGAGTACTTCAGCGCTGGGGAGAAAGCTAATGGAGCACCAGTTGAGCTGTGTCCCCCTTACCCCCAAGCTGCCCCCCATTAGCCAGGCAGCTCATACATACATCACTCTCCAGTGCAGAGTCATCATCGCCCAGGAAAGCAATCTTGAAGTCGGTGCACACGAGTTTCCCGTAGATCCCACGCTGGCAGGTATCCTCCTGGACGTACTTGAGCACGGTGCTGGCTTCGCAAAGCAGCTGCTCACCTGGTGGAAACCACACCACGGCCACTCAGGGCAAGTCCTGGCGGGTGCGAAGCCTACCAATAGGCAAGATCAACACGCACAGGGTGCACCTCTGGACGCTGCCCAACACGTGGTCACTGCCGCAGCTACACTGTCAAGCAGAGGCCATGGTGCTTCTATGACTGAGCCGCAGAAGCAACACTGAAGCATGTGCAAAGTCAGAGGCTTGCCAGTGCGCCTTCAAACACAGGCTGCAGCCCCCTTCCCTGGGAGGGTGCGGGTTCTAACCCTGGAACTGCTCACAACTAGCACCATCTCCTTGGCGACAAGCACCGTCTCCTTGGCGACGGGGCTTGTGGCTTGTACGTGGCTTCCGCACGCAGGGGAGGTGCTGCGATCTTCCGCAGTATGGGCAGGCACCCTCATTTTGGCTCCGGGGACAAAGATGGGAGGAAAAAGGATGTCAGGAGTTTGTGGGGGGGAAATAGCTTCCTCTCTTTCTTTGCTGAGGTATTTCCTGCGACTGTGTCACCTTTCCTGCTCTATCTGCAGGCGGCCAGCCCGCGGGAGGGTGGCCTTTCCTGCAGGCAGCAGCGTTAGGCACAGAGACTGGGATGGGAGGATGTGTGGGTGAGGGTGGGAAAAAGAGATGCATGGGCGGAAAATGAAAACAGTATAAGTACTAAGCAGTGAACAAGAAAAAGAAAAGGCGATTACTTCTCCAACAGACTCCCCCTCCCCATGCCGGTCTCACTCTGGACAGCACCTTAAACCTCTTTTATTGACTTATTGAAAGTCTGACTTTCAATAAGAAAACACACTAAGACTGTCGGAGGTCACCTGCTTTGGAATTTGTCTCCCATTGTTCAAGGGGCCAACGACCTCTGGCTGAAGCTGTAAGGAAATAGCAGAAGATGGCCTGGTCACCAGGTCACCCTCAGAGAGACCGTGAAGTTTGAAGAAAACAATGAAGTCAAGGCCTTATGGGGGATTGAAATTGGTCCAGAAAGAGTGCCGGTACCCCTCCCTGCCCCTGCTCCGTGCCAAGTCCAGCGTAGGAAACCCCTGAGCAAGCCGTCTGTGTTCAGAGCAGGGCTCTGAATGGCTTCTTCCCAGTTGTCATGGTCACTGAAGCAGAACCAGACAGACCTGAATATATGAAGAAGCATGGGTGAACCTGGTGGATAAGTGGAACAGAAAAACTGGGCCAAGCCCTGCTGGTAACTTGAGCTCCCTCTAAGAAAGCATGGAACATGTGCATGGTAAGCAGCAACCAAATCTCAGCCAGAAACAACAGTGCCCCACTCAGAGAAGGCAGCAGACCAGATGCTTGGAGCATGTGCCCTGTGCCACAGTCCTGGTGGTCAGTCAGCCAGTCTCCCGCACATCAGGCTCCCGGAAGGCTTTACTCCAGCCAGACCACAGCTTGGAGCCCTAGGGATTTTATTCCCATTCCAGTCATTGTTCGGGTCTGCTCTGATTTCACTCTTTTGGTCACGAGTGAACTAGTTTGAATTAGCCCAAAGGCCTAATTTGAAGCTTCTAACAGGTAACAGTTTTAAAAGCGAGACTTGCTTCCAAAACCAGGCAGGCCCTATCTCTGGTGTCAATGTACAGAAGGTAGCATGAGTCTCTATGACCGAGTTCCCTGGGGAGACTAGGTAAGTATGGCATATGGGTCCTTCTTACAACTTGTGTGAACCACACCCACAATTGAGAACTGTGGGGCTGTGGCTGGAGAAGACTTGAGTCTAGGAAACTGAGGTTCTGGGAAGTCACAGAGGCACTTAGAAGACACCCTCAATGACAAAGGTAGACTTATATGTTGCACCAAGATAAAGGAGCCCTGGTACCTCAACACAAGAATACTTTCTTCTAGTAAATTGGCATTCTATGATGCTCACCTTCCCGACACAACC